GAAGCCAGAAAGACGAGCCATGTATAATGCTGCTACTACTGTAATTGATAACGCTGCCACACATTGTAGTCAAGGATTTGTTTCTTATTGAAAATGGCTAATATGTAGCTTCTATTGAATCTGATGCTCCATATAATTTATTGCTAAACATATATTAGATTGCCTAACCACTGCAATGATATTAGCAGTCTTGTTTCTTGATGCATAGTCACTGTCCAGCTTTAAAAAATTCAACATCTATCATAAACAAACACTCTTTCCAATATGATGCTATAAATTCTAATATCTAGAATATAAGAGTCAAGTTATTCTTAGGCAAGACTTTTAACTGTTTTACTACATAATATTTTCCCTTCAAAAAGAGTAAATATTTCTCAAGATCTATGACAGGAGTTATCTTTATCTCCTTAAAATATTCATTTTATAATTAACAAATGATAATGAGGTATAGATGATAATATAGGTCCTCTGTTTATAACTATAAAAAGACAATGGAGTGAAGGAAATTACAAAATGATGTGAATAAATACTATAACAAATATTATGATAAATGGTAATTTGGAGCATGGAGGGGAAAGCACTTAAGTCAATGCTGGAGAATTGAGGAAGATATTTCACACATTATATTTAAGCTAAGACCTAAAAGCAGATTGGAATTAGTGTAATGAGAAGTAGGGGAGAGTGTGTCTAGCAGAGGTAACGGTGTGCGCAAAGGCACGGGGGAGAGAAGAGACATATCGTGTTGGGGAGATGAGAGATTCCTGTGATTGAAACATAAAGGAGAAGCTGCAAGTGCTGAGAGGTAGACCTGAGGAGTGAAGCAGAAACGTCATCATGGGGGCTTTGTAGATTGTTTTAAGAAGATTATTTTTATCTTAAAAGGAGAAGAATAACATTGAGGATTTTAAATATGGGAAACATATGACCAAATTTAAATTTTCAGAAAGCTGAATCTAGCCATAGTATGGTGCATAGATGAAAGAAAGACGAGGAGCAAAACTGGAGACAAAGATCATTTAAGATACTGTCCAGAACTCTATGTGAAATGGTAAATGACAGGAAGTAGCATTGAAGAAAGAGAGTTTTGAGAAATATTTAGAAACTAGAATATAAAAATAAGAAAATAATTTTAAAAGAGAAAGAAAGGAAATGAAGAAGAGAAGAAGGACAGAAAGATGATGAAAGAAGAGAAAAAGATGACTTTGAGTTTTCTATGTAGACAACCTGGAGAATGAGAGTATTACTCATATAGAAACTTAGAAAGACTTGGCCTTGTATTATCCTTTACCCTTATCTTTCATCTTTCAGTTGTGAAGAGTTTTTAATTCATAAACTTTGTCAAAAAATATATCATTTGATCTTCACAAATAATCTTTGAAATAGTCATTAATAACTGCATTTACTGAGGAAATTGAGCTTATGAAAAGGCCCAGAGGCCACAAGTAATGCAACATGTTAAGAGAAACAAAAGAAAATGCAATATAGTAAGAGAAATAAAAGCTACAGTGAAAGTGAAATGGTATGACTAAAGTCAGAGATATAGGATCACATAGACTCTTGCAGGGTATATTAAGGATTAAGAGATTTAATCCTGAGAGTATGGGAAAACAAAATGATCTTAAGCAACAGTAGCATAATCGAGTTTATGTACCTTTACTATCATACCAGTGGATGTATAAGAATTGAAGAGGAAGAGAAAATAAGAATGGAGAAAGGGAGAACAATCAAAAGGCTATTACATTAATAAAATTCCAGACTAGTTGGGGGTCACACACTGAGTTGGGTAAGGGGAGGGATAGTATGGAAAGAGTATGTGACCAGCATGATAACACTGGAGAAAGGGAGGACACCAAATTGTGCACCTAAGATACACAGAGGCTAATACCAGTATATGCACAATACTGCATTATCACTGACACCAAACACCAGGCTACAGATAAATGCACACACAACTGAGAAGATCAGATGGGGATTGGTGAACAGGAATATACTCTAGACCAATGATAGATTCAGGTGTGGCTAATCTTGCACATTTATTTGTGATACAAAATAACTACAATCATTACAGAAGCAACAGAAGACAGACTTGGAGTAATCCCTCAGAGACAGCCAAATACCTTGGGAGAGAGAACCACTGGGTCTGCCAACTCATGACCATAGTATTGGGGTACACCGGGCTCAATTGGCACAACAGAATACATAAAAGTCTTGTTCCATAACCTCCTTTGGTGAGTAGTGACTGGGGTCTTAAAAGCTTTCAAGCGGCCATCTAAAATGCAGTTAATGGTCTCCTCTCATCTGAAGCAAAGAAAAGTGAAGAAAACCAAGGGTATTTGGAAGCAATAAGCCCTAGGATATGATGGAGCTTGAGAATGGAAAAGTAGATGGTGCCCAGCTACCAATGCCAACCACTTGGGAAGGGACAAAAACTGGAGATCCTGGATAGAGTGGGAGGAAAAACATGGAACAAAATTCAAAAACACAATAATGACCAGAATTACTGGTCAGATGGAGTCTGGTGGGACCCACAAGACTGTGGCCTTGGGATACACTTCAGGCCTGGGATAAGACTCACTCCCAAGGGCTGACTCTCAGCCCAACAGTAGTATGACTTACATGCAGAACACCTATGAACTGTTGAATTTAAAACAAATTCTGAAGTAAATAAATAAATAAAATGTTCATGATAATCTGAGTAAAGGAATGTTTAAAACCGAAAAAAAAAAAAAAAAAAGAAAGAAGACTATTACAGTGATTCAACTGATGAAGATGGAAGTTTGAACTAGGGCGGTGGTAGATGAAATGTTGAGAAGAATCTTAATTTGAATTATATATGTCACCATTTCTATTCAGTGGTGTATTGGAGGTCTAGCCAGTGAAAGAGGGCAAGAAAAAGATATCAAAGACATACATATTGGAAAGAATGAAATAAAATTATCTTTATTCACAGAGGACATAATCATATATGTAGAAAATACCAAAAAAACAAAAACCAAACTTACTGCCTTCAAGTCGGATCCAACTCATAGTGACCCCTCCTTGGGCTTCTGAGGTGATAACACTACAGAAGGAGATTACCTAACCTTCCTTCTGAGGAGTGGCTGGTGGGTTTGAACCGCCAGCCTTCTGGTTAGTAGTCACATGCCTTAGGCACTATGCCACCAGAGCTTCCAGAAAATCCCAAGGTATACATAAAAGAACTACTAGGACTGATAAGTGAGTTTAACAAGGTTGTAGGACATTATTGTTGTTGTTATGTGCCATCAAGTCGGACCCAACTCATCACGACCCCTCTTTGGATTTCCAAAGCAGTATCACTATGGAAATAGATTGCCCCATCTTCCTCCTGAGGAGTGGCTGGTGGTTTTGAACTGCCAGCCTTCTGGTTAGCAGTCAAGTGCCTTAGCCACTACGTTACCAGAGCTCCCAGCAGGACATTAGGTTGTTATATAAAAAATTAATTATATTTCTATATAGTACCAAAAAACAATTGGACATTGAAATTAAAAAAAAAAATTGTAATAGTGTCAAAACCACAATATTACATTGAGATAAACCTAAAAATATGTGCAAGGTTTGTTTGATTTTATACTGAAAACTACAATAAATATTTATGAGAGAAATTAAAATAAACCTAAATTGAAAGACAGATATACTATGTTTGTGGATTGGAAGACTTAATACAGTTAGGTCAATTCTCCCAAAATTCATCTATCCAGTAACCAATTGCTATTCAGTCGATTCCCACTCATGGTGACCCTATGTGTGTCAGAGTAGAACTGTGCTCAGTTAAGTGTTCAATGGCTGATTTTTTTGGAAATAGATCAACAGGCCTTTCTTCTGAGGCACTTCTGAGTGCCTCTGGTGGACTCAAACATCCAAACTTTTGGTTAGCAGCTGAGCACTCATGCACCACTGGTACTCCAATGTAATGCAACTAACTTCCAGCTTTTTTTTTCCCCCTCTCGTAGACATTGAAAAGCTGATTCTAAAATTTATATGGAAAGAAAAACAACTAGAATAGCTAGCTATAACAATTTTAAGTGTACTAAACTGACACCAAAACCATTCTCTTTTAGTTGACTCCAACTCATAGGATCCAGCAGGACATAGTAAAACTGCCCCATAGGATTTCCAAGGCTATTCCAAGATTACCTTTCGTGAATCTTCACAGTAATCTTCACAGAGGTAGACTACCACATCTTTCTCTCGTGGAGCGAATGACGGGTTTGAACTGCTGACTTTTTGCTTAGCACCTGAGTGCTTTAAGCATAGTACCACTAGGGCTCCTTTAAAAGTCTACCATTGGATACAAATAAGTAAATAGCTGAGTTCAGTGTGACAAGATATGAATGAGATCAATCCAAATAACATGGGGTGATAGACACAAATATAGTTTACTTAAAACCTCATATATGTGTACATTTTGGCTGTGTTTAGGTCCTCAATCTCCCATCTTCCATTTGTACACAAAGTATAATATATATTTTGAACAAAAACTAGGCTTACTCACGAAGTCCCATTTTTGGAATATATCCATATACATAAAATAATATTATTAGGAAAAACAATTCTCTTTTGTATAATGTGATACATTCATAAAGCAGCCTTGATAAGTTATTTCTATGTGTTGCTACTTTCAGCTCACCTCTACATAGACACTAAAAAGGCATTTCTAAAATCTCATTTCAAAACGTAGATATTACATTGTCCATATTATTTGCACCACCTGCCACATGGTCATAGTCATTTGCTTGTTTTATTAACAACACATAAATTACAGCCCCACATTTCAATAAAATATAACTATGCTTCTGTGTGCCTGTGTCTAAAATCACAGTTAGGTCTTTAACTCTTTTATAGTGGGCACATACCTTAAAACAATTTGCCATCCTTCTGAGAATAATACTTTTGGACAAAAAAAAAAAAAGTTTCTTGCAGTTATGAAAATGCACTGAACTTTGGAAAACAGAAAGACATTAATTTGCAATGTATCTTACCTGGCTTGAGATGAGCAAATGGAATTTCACCGGTGAGAAGTTCCCACAAACACAGAGCATAGCTGAAGACATCCGCTTTGATGGTGTATCTAGTGCATTGAGTGAACACTTCAGGAGCCATCCAACGGAGATTCTGCATGTCAAGAAATTTCCACAATCATTGACCAAGCATTTAGTTGTTCGACTGCAGAACAGCATTCTTCTAAGTGAGGATTTGGTAGTCTTCTCTGATGCTCTCAAAAGATACATGTAAGCATAAAATAAAATAGGATAAAGCATAAAATGAAATAGCATTAATACTGCTCTCAATGTGTATAATAAACTGGCCACATATCCAGTTGTCTGTTGCTGTTCAGCTTCTCAAAGGAACATCTTTACTCACTGAAAAACATAAAATCCATAATTCTCCCCAAAATGTCACAATGATATTAATTATCAAGAAACTTTGAACAGCAGTATAAGCATAAAAAATTACAGATAACATTGTGAAGAGTGGAAAATTCAGAACACTTCATTTCCCTCATCCAGAACCTGTACACAGATGAAACAGAACAAGAGGACACTATGTGGTTTAAAATCAGGAAATGTGTGTGTCAGGGTTGTATCCTCTCACCATACTTGTTCAATCTGTATACTGAGCAAATAACCTGAGAAGCTGTATTATATGAAAAAAGAACACGGCATCAGGATTGGAGGAAGACCATTAATAACCTACGATATGTACATAATACAGCCTTGCTTGCTGCTAGTGAAAAAGACTTGAAGCCCTCACTGATGAAGATCAAAGATTAGTCTTTAGTATGGATTACATCTCAACATAAAGAAAACAAAAATCTTTACAACCAGTCCACTAAGTAATATAATGATAAACAGAAAAAATATATTGAAATTGTCAGGAATTTCATTTTACTTGGCTCCTCAATCAATGCGCATGGAAGAAACATCAAGAATTTAGACAATATATTGCCTTGGGCAAATCTTACGCAAAAGATCTCTTTAAAGTGTTTTTAAAAAAAAAAAGCAAACATGTCATTTTAATAACTAAGGTGTGCCTGATGCAAGACCTGGTATTTTCAATCACCTCATATGCATGCCAAACCTGGACAATGAATAAGGAAAAGCAAAGAAAAATCTATACATTTGAATTATGGTGTTGGTGAGGAATATCAAATATACCTAGACTGCCAGAGGAATGAAAAAAAAAATCGTTCTTGAAAGAAATATATCCGGAATGCTCCTTAGAAGGGAGGATGGTGAGACTTTGTCTCATGTATTTTGGACAAGTTATTAAGAGGGACCAGTCATGGGGGGAGGACATCATGCTTGATAAAGTAGAGGGCCAGCAAAAAAGGAAGATCCTCAAGGAGATGGATTAACAAAGTGGCTGCAACAATGGGCTCAAACTGAGCAGTGACTGTGATGATGACACAGGACTAGGCAGTGTTTCTTTCTCTTGTATATAGGGTCCATGTGAGTCAGAATTGACTCGAAGGCACCCAACAACAAGAACAACCATAGCAGCAGCAGCACTGTCATTTATCTGAGTACCTTTCTTCTAAGGATTTCTGGTGGTGTAGTGGTTAAGGCATTTGGTTGCTAACCCAAATGTCAGTGGATCAAACCTGCCAGCTGCTCTGCAGAAGAAAAATGAGGCAGTCTGCTTCCATAAGGATTTACAGCCTTGGAACCAATAGAGGTCACCATAAAGAAATCTCATGAGCTTCTGAACAGCAGCCATGAATTTATCCAGGTACTCTATGGCTCCCGGGGAGTGAATCAGGCCATGTGGGAGACACCGTCCCTTGTTCAGGCCTTTTGGTTATAATTGAGGAAGTCACTCAATTAGAACTATAAATAGCTCTGGCTCTCCCATTGACTATTTGGGCAGCTCTGGGCAAGTTACTTATGCTACCTGAACCTCACATTCCTCAAGGACAAAAATCAAGTCAGGCACTTTCAGCTCTAAAATTCAATGGCTCCAAATCATATCAAAGACACTCTGGTTGCTCTGTGGTTAAGGCATTGTTGCTAACCAAAAGGTTGGAGATTTGAATTCACCAGCTGCTCTGTGGGAGAAAGATGAGGCAGTCTGCTTCCATAAAGGTTGACAGCCTGGAAACCCTATGGGCGTCTCTATGAGTAGGAATCAACTTGATGGCAGTGGGTATATCATAGCAGTGCTTTTGCCAAACACCTTCCTTTCTGTATTTCTGCTGAGAGAGTCTAGTATTCTTTCTTTCATTACTCTTACTGCAAATCTCTGCATAATGGTAGCTGCTGACAATTCCTTTGAAATGTCTACCTTATTTTGAAATCATGCATAATTACAGCTTTCCAAGAATATCTTTATTCTGATTATGGTGCTCATATGCAATTCTTCTCCATGAGTTTTTATATTTTAAATAGCCTCTATTTATATAGCAGATTATACATTGTGTTATAACATTGCATAACTGGGAGTAGGCATACAGTATGCCCACTGTTGCGCAGGGAAGCAACAGAGTGATTAGGGAACTTACATAAGGCCGTATAACTAGCAAAAAAAAAAGTTATCAAAATAAATCTAGAGTAGCACTTGTGCTTAAAGGCTATGTCACTAGGATTAAAAATAAGTAACATTATTTGCTGTTGGTTCTATTCAACTCAGTCTCATTCAAAAAAAAATTTATTTAGTCAGTGAGTCTCAACTGGCTGGTTTGTAAAACTTTAAAATGATACAGATACCTAAGATCAACCCACGGGCCAATTGAATCAGAATTTCTAGAAGTTAGATTCAGGCATTGTGCCTTTTGAAAGGTCCTGAAGAGATTTCAATTTGTCACCAGAGTTGAAAAACATTTATTAGCTATCTCTGTGTTCAAACCCACCAGCCACTCCTTGGAAGGAAGGTTGGGCAATCTACTTCTGTAGTGATACTGCCTCGGCAACCCAAGGAGGGGTTGCTATGAGTTGGGACCGACTCGATGGCACATAAAAACAACATATCCCATGTAAGGAGCTCTGGTAAAATAGAGGTTACAGCATTCATCTGCTAACCAAAAGGTCAGTAGTTTGGACTCACTAGCAGCCCTGTGGGAAAAAGATGAAGCTGCCTGCTTCCATATAGATTTATAGCCTTGGACACACCATGGGGACAGTTCTACTCTGTGCTAAAGGGTTGCTATGAGTTGGAAGGGAGCTCTGGTAGCATAGTGTCTAAGGCACTTGACTGGTAACCAGAAGGTTGGCAGTTCAAACCCATCAGCCACTCCTTGGAAGGAAGATGGGGCAATCTACTTCTGTAGTGATACTGCCTTGGAAACCCAAGGAGGGTCGCTATGAGTCAGGTCTGACTCGATGGCACATAACAACAACAACATGAGTTAGAATCGACTTGATAGCAGTGGAAGTGGGATGACCCATATAGGAGCCCTGGTGTCACAATGGTTAAGTGTTTGGCTGCTAACAAAAAGGTCAGTGGTTCAAACCTACCAGCTGTTTTATGGGAACAATATGTGGTACTCTACTTCTGTAAAGATTTTCAGCCTTTGAAACCCCGTGATGCATCTCTACCCTGTTCTATAGGGTTGCTATGAATAGTAATTGACTGGAAACAATGGATTTATTTGTTTGTTTGTTTTATGCCCCACTTGGAGATCCTAAGTGTGTCACAGTAGATTTGTACTCCATAGGGTTTGCAATGGCTGATTTTTTGGAAGTAGATCATCAGACTGTTCTTTTGAGGCACCTCTTGATGGACTAAAACCTCTAACTATTCAGTTAACAGCTGAATGCTATATGGAATCAACTTCATGGCAACTGTTGCTTTCACTGATTCATGTCTCCCATAATAGATGAGGCCCACAGGAGAGCATGCTCTTCTCATCTTCCTTACTTCATCTACCACTCTTCTCCCTTCTCATCCATTGCAGCTACTCTGGCCTTGAACACGCCAATCACTCTACTGCCTCCCACCTCATGGCCTCTTACTGTTTCTCCTGTCTGCAATGTTCTTCTCCTGGAGTCACATAAATGACTCTCACTTTCAATCTTTGTATGAATATTATTTATCAAGTGTTATTTTCCCTGTCACCTTATCTAAACCATGCCCTATCATTCTCCATTCATTTACTTTGCTTTATTTTTTCTTCATCACATTTATCACCTGATATACATTTGTTAATTTGTTTGGTGTATATAGCTTCCCAGTAGAATATCAGCTCCATGATAACTATATTTTTATTTTATTTGCTGCTATATCTACAGTTTCTAAAAGAATGTCTGGCATTCAGTTGGAGCTCCATAAACATTTGTTGAATAAGTGAGTAAAATCTAATTGGAAGAACCAGCATGCATAACCTACTTACAATACAGCATTTTCCATGATGTGTTTCCTGTCTTCCTCTCTTAACTCATCTCTAGCTTTGTCTTCCTCACACTGTACACACCAATATTGCCAAGCTATTTGAAGCTCCCCCAGGAATTTAAGTGTTTCTCATCCTCCCTTGTGCTTTTGCTCATTCTGTTCCTTTTGCCTGGCATCTCTTCCACTCTTATCATCATCTGCTTAACTCCTATTCCTCCCTCCTGAACCTCCATAATATTTTGGCATAACTCTCCCACTGAAATTTCACATTGCTTCAATTCTAATTGTTTATTACTATGTTTTCCCCACTAGACAATAAGCTCTTTGAGATAAAGGATAAAATTTTTATTTTCTTTTGCATTCCTGGTCCTTTCATGGTACCTGACATGTGTTAGGCCCTAAATAAATGTTTGCTGAATGAATGAATAAAAGAACAAACTAAGAATATGAACAGAGTGCTATAAAAACACCAAAGAAACAAGGTTTTCTGTGTACTTGGGTCTTTGTGTGGGGGGAATGTGGGGTGTTGAAATAGGTAACTTGTCTGGGACTTGCAAGATGAGAGACTTCATCCATGTGAGGTGCTGTGAAGGGCTTTCCAAGTACAGCATTGAACACAAGCAAAGTCATATGATATGAAAGTGGACAACATGTGTGGGGATGGCCAAGAGCTATACTTGCTAAAGTATAGGGGGTTTGAGAGACATTGTGGTAAGGCTGGAAAGGTTCCCTGGGCTAGATTGAGAAAGGCAGAAATCAGAGGAAAATGTTTTCTCTCTGTGCTTTTGTTGACTTTGTTTACATTACTGCTTTGGACTTCTTTTTTAAAAAATCTGTTTTTCATTCACCAAACATGTATTGAGGATTTACTATGTGCCAGGCACTGTGCAAAGAACCAAGAATGCAAAATGTGAATAAAAACTTAGTCCTTAACTAATTTTATAGTCATTTATGTGTTAAATATTAACTCTACTGCTTAATGTTGTTGCTGTTAGCTGCTGTAGAGTCAACCCCCAACTCATGGTAACTTACAACAGAATGAAATGCTGCCTGGTCCTGTGTCATCCCCAGGAACAATTGCAGATCTGATCATTGTGATCCATAGGGTTTCTATTGGCTGATTTTTGGAAGTAGATCCCCAAGATTTTGTCCTTCTCTAATTTAGTCCTAAAGCTCCAATGAAAGCTGTTCAGCAACCTACCAACACACAAGCCTCTACTAACAGTTGGCAGTTGTACTTAAGGTGCATTGGTTGGGAATTAAACCTGGATGGAAGCAAGATTTTACCACTGAACCACCACTGCTCCCCTTACTACTTAATAAACCAAAACCAAACTCATTGCTGTCAAGTGAGTTCCTACTCATGGTGACGCTATGTGTTATAGAATGGAACTGCTCCATAGGATTTCCTTGGCTGTAATTGTTCCTGTAGTAGATCACCAGACCTTTTTTCCTCATTGCTTCTAGGTGCGTTTGAACTGCCAACCTTTAGGTTAGTAGTCAAGAACAAACCATTGTCACCCAGGGACCCTAAAGTGACCTAAATATAACTTTCAGTTATATTTAAAACAAATTCAGCATTATTTTATCCATAAAATTTTCTAAATTTATTTTTTTAGCAAAGCCTTACAAAAGTTCTTCTGTGGCTTACTGAAAATAAAAATGCAAAACACTATTCTGTCACTGGGCAGTGACAGTGTTTCTAGTTTAAACTGCTCTACTCTCCTTCCTTTCAGGCTGAGTTTGCACATTTTAAATGTTTAGTAATTATAGAGAACACAAGTGGCAGCAGACCCCAGGTTGTTTTGTCATATTGTCTTCATCCAGAGACTGCAGAAATCTTGATTCTGAGGGAAAGAGAAAGTAAATTCATGTCAAGAAAATATCTCAAACCAAAGTCAAAGATTATGTCTAAGATTTTGATATCAAATCATATTCAAATTCTCACTTCCTTTTTTTGGCTGAGGATATAAAAGTGGAAAAACTGAAAATAAATGTTATACTTTCAAAATTCAGTGTCATTGGAATTTGAATGGCTTAGAGAAGTATAGCTGTCAGTGTGAAATACATTTTTGGATTCATCATACAATATCAGGCACTAACTAGGAAGGAAGAAAGAAACTGATGACATTTGGGGTATTATTCAGGGAAATCTCACCTCCAAAATCTGCCACCACAGCATGCCCGTCCTCATAGAGAAGAATATTGTGACTGTAAGAAAAATGGAGGCTTTCAGTAAACTTGACTATTTCTTAATCTAACTGGTCCCTTGAGGAAGAGGACAATAGTTATCATTAGCTTAGCTCAGAGGGCTGGCTGCACAATGATAATCTAGACCAAAGACTACTTTCCTAGTTTTTCTTAATTTTATTGAAAATGTGTGTATATATACATTTTCAATATATGTATATATATGTATATATATATATATGTATATATATATATATGTATATATATATATGTATACACACACAC